TTCCCCACTAAAGCCAGCTCTTCAGATCATGCTGTTTTCTTACCTAGAGATGACCTCTGTTGATTGAGGTGGCAACAGTGTCCGGAAAGCATAATGCAAGTCTAGAGTGCTACTACCACTCACACTGGACCCATGATGGTGATCAACACAGCCTATGCGTATCCACAATGTCTTCAAGACTGTCAAACCATTCTCTGTCCTGCCGCAGATTCACTACAATTTCTGCTGGATCAAACACTGTAACATGCTACTAAAGCATGGTTAGAGAGAACGTGTGTATTAAAGCCTTTCAGGTATGAGTGGGACAGCAGAAACCTTGAGTAGATCCTTTACAAAGAAACACAGAGGGGTTTTTTCACCCGGATCACAGACAGCAGCAATAAGCCACAAACTCCTGTATCAGAGTTCAGGGCTTTACCCATCCTTCCTCTGACCCCAAGCTGTAATTAGGCAGGGGAATCTCCTTTTTAGGCACACAGGTTTGAAAACACAGGCCAAGAGTCCTTCTGCACCGCAGATCTGCCCACTAATATAAAAGGCACCAATAACAGATCACACAGTATGAAGTTGGAAGGCTGGGCTGCTGCACATTCAGCTGAAATGCTGCATGCAAGTGCAAAGCATTAGTAACAGTATACACCAGGAAATGCTGCTCAGGGCACCAAGGGGTTAACACCATGCAGCTCCAGATTCCAGCACAAAGCCCCCAGGAATGACTCTGGTGTCCAGAATCAGAACTTTATCACCATCTTATTTCATGTGCTGCCCAAGTATGAGTAATAGTAGTGGGGGTAGGGGAGAGGAGGAGCACTATCTGATCTCTGGCAAAGTCCAACCACAGCTGGTTATAATAAGGATAAGAAAATGGAGGTAGCAGTGCACATGTGAGAGAAAGTCTACTCCAGGGATTAGGAACATCTTGCAAGGAAGCAGAGCTGCTCACGCATCATATGGCACTTCCCTCTAATTCTCTGCCAGTGCATGGTTACACGGACTTGTGGTACTGGCTTACTCAAACCTAGGAACAGCCATCAATTGACTGTCATCTTAAAAATAACATAACACTATGAAAAAGTCACCTCAGCAGTTCTTTGCAAGCCAAAAGATGTTCACCTCTGTGCTGATTTTGATTGTGCCTAAGGACAACCCAGTGACAGAGCCCCATTGTGCTGAGCTCTGTACAAACAGGAAATAGTAGATGCTCCCAGCCCCAAGGCACTTGCAATGCAAGATGACCAGACAGCCCACAGCAGGAGATGGTGGACCATGTACTGTAGCATGCAGAGACTCTGATAACAGGTACATTAGAAACACAGGACAGATGTAGGTTAGGCAGCACTTCCAGACCAGACATGTTTACAACCAGCACTGTACTATATTGGTCGTTATGATCTGGCTCCAGTGACAGAAGAACATTGATCAGACAGACCCTTTGGCTTTTAATTTGTTACATTTTAATGCAGTGCATAATTAATTTGTGGAACTTATTACCACAGGAGGCTGTATAGAAGCAGATAGTAAAGCCAGGTTCAAGAAGGGACTGGACAGATTCATGGGGGATAGATCCATTAATAGCTATTAAACAGAACAGTCAGTGATGTCAGAAACAGGATACTGGGCAAGATGGATCAGTCTGACCCAGTGCAGTACTGCTTATGTTCTTATATATTCTCTGGTTCGGTTCTCAATTAAATAGTGTTGGCTGAAACAACATCATCAAGGGAATAAATCATGGCTGAAACTGGGACCTAGGACAAAACCAGAACATTCAGCGAACTCCTCAAAGGGCAGGACAAGACCAGATTGGGCCTAGGCCTGGTTTTGCACTGATGAACTATTCTGATTAAGGATGTGTTTCTACTAACTTAGTTAAGACAGTATCACCCTACCACAGACTCTGATACCATTATAAAGGGACCAGTTTGGTATACTGCCCTCATGGCATCTTCATGTCAGTGCAAATAATAAAACATTAGAGTGGTTCACATCAGTATATTTAAAACAGCATAATCTTTGTGTCTAGGCAAGACCTATGAACCAAGGCAATGGTATTTTCCAGGTGTCATTCACATGCAGATGAAATCTTGGTATTTCAGCCCAAGAAGAGCTTTAGAAACACCCAATATAAACCCAAAGCATTAGCCTAGAGCTACTCCAGATTCAAATGCTACTTGAACTGTCCCATCTCCAGCCACACCAAGGAAGGACCAGCACATTTTATGCTTTGGGAAGATAGCAAGATAAAAGCAGGATGTACATAGTCCTCTCTCAGATCCTAAAACTGAAAAGGGTCCTTAGAGAAGTGATGCTTTTAGGAATCAAGGCACTCCTCATTAGACTTGAGGCATCCCTTGGAAAATGCCAGCTCTTAGTTTTCATTCATTTTTTGACTACAGAAAAATAAATGGATGAATTTTTCCGATGTAAAATCTCACCAAGACCACAGCAGATCAGAATGTTTTTAACACTG